TTAACCAATTTCTCATACAAAATTTGCCAATTAAAGTTTACTTCCTTAAAGAAAATTGTTCCCCACTAAAACTTGTTATTTTGTAAAACTTGTAATTCAATTTGTTGAAAGTAGTAATGATTTAAAATGGTCATGATATGTGTAATTGTCGAAGTCTAACCTTTTAGGTACTTTTTTTTATTTATTCAACTTTGCACACGTACTTGGTTTCACTAATGTCTTATGCGTACATTTCAACCTTAGGAAGTGGTTAAGGCATTTTGTCGAACATGAAGAATACATTCATGAAATCCTTCACTTTAAAAAGTACTTATTTACTGAAGTTGCTGCCAGGGCTGTGATTGTAAAGGAGACGTATGTTTCGTAAGAGCTTGAAATTTGACCAAACGAACTAACAATCCGAGATAACAAGAAATAAATAGTTTGAGAAATCGAGGTGTAAGGAAGAGTACCTCATTGTTGTTGCCGCAGAAGAAGATATCTCTGAAAAAGATGACACGAAAAGGGGAAGAAGCTGTGGCAGAATAAAATGAGACGGGGGAAGAAATGTACTCTCCATTTGGAAGTGAATGGAATAACCTTCGCTTAAGGTTGGTGCCGGTTGATACTGGTTTGATAACCGCAAAACAGACTTGAACTACATTTGCCGTATAAACGTTAGTTCGTTAACAACGACTTTGATTTCTAATTTTCCGTGTGTATGAAATGTTACGCGTTTCCGTACATATGAAATGTTAAATTAGACGGAAAAAGGACCATAGTAACCAAGTTGGCTTTTATTATTTAAACACAGATCTCTACTAAATATATGGGAAAAATCCTCTAATATTACTAGGGCATAGGATATTTCCATAAAAGTGATCATAAAAAATTTGGGCCTAAAAAGTGACACCCAAGGTCATAGTTTAGGAATTACTTTCCAAAAATACGGAGCTTCATCATGTGGGCCGGTCAAAAACGAAAACTAATAAAACGGAATTTAAGAAACAGCCGGTTGCGCCTGAAAATCTGTCAACCGCAGGAACGAACTCCAACGGAACAAAGAAACTGAAGATCATCGCAGACAGGAACGAACTCGAACGGAAGAAGGAAACCGAAGATCATCGCAGACAGGAACGAACTCGAACGGAACAAGGAAACCGAAGATAATCGCAGACTCGTATAGGTAATTTGGATGTCTAACTTATTCGTTAATTAGTTCGAATTTGATAACTGGACATCAACACTTCTGCGAACATAGAGATGATCTGACAATTGTAACTGCGAACATAATATTTCATATTTTCGTTGAATTTTTCATAACTTTCCTTCTGAATTTCGATTTGAAAAAATTCATTTGAATTAAAGTTTTTTTAGCATCGTGTAACTGGAAACTGTGTTGTGTTTGCAGTGATTGATGTAGAACCGAGTACATGAACCGTATTCAAAATTTGATGTTGTGTTTACTGTTTTCTGAATTTCAATTTCAATTCATCTGATTGAGATAATACATGTAGAACTGTATAGATGTAATACATGTAATCATAAAAGTGTAACTGCAAAATGCCTAGTGTATTCAATGAAATTTGCTTGCAGTTCCTTCAGAATTTTATTTGAAATAAGTTGATAGAATTTTGATTTGGAACTCTGTAGTGACACCGTAATGTAACTGCGAACTGTATTGAGCTTACTGAACTTTATCTTTGATTTTAGTAACTGCTAGGCATGTAGTAACTGCAGTGTAAGAGTAATGGTGATGATATCATGAATGTAACTAAGGACTTAGTTAGTTTCATAGTATGTTCTATCATTGAACTTGGATGTTATCTTTTCAGGTGAAGTGAAAAAATTGGATGCTATTGTTTTGTTTAAAATGGAGAAAGTTATGGCCACAGTAATGTTAGATGGCCACTGGAACGTTAAGAAGAAATTTGTAGCAAGATCAACCCATGGAGTTCTGGTAAATGCAAAGTCATCATATAATGAATTGGTTAAGGATTTACAAGATGCTTTGAATCTTCAGCCAGATGTCACTATCAACTGTATCTCATACCAAATAGATAAAGATTTTGATCCAACACAGATTGACAGTGACAGTAGTTTACAGTTTTATTTGCATCTTAAAGGTGTTGATTGTACACAAGTATCAAAATACCCTTTGTGTGTGCAAATAAATAGAAAAAGTGACATGGAAGGGGTATGTGACACTAACATAAGAGTAGCAGATTCAGAAGAAAGAATCAGTACAACAAATGTGGCTCCTACAGTGGGTGGATGTAATAATGAGGAGGTGTTGGATGAATATGCAATGACTTATCAGCAATGTTCAACCACAGACACACCGTTGTTGACATGGTTGGGTGGGGGAGGAAGTGGTGACATGGAAGCTATTGATACAACATTAAGGATCAATGGAATATATCCAAACAAAGAAAGCTTAAAGGAGACTTTGCAACTCTATGCACTTCATAACAAATTCCAGTTCAAGACCAAAACCTCAAATCCTGATGTTATTCAAGTTATTTGCTATGAAGAAAAGTGCAAATGGGCTGTACGTGGGGTGAGAATGAATAAAAGTGGCTGTTTTGAAGTGAGAAGGTATGTTTCAGTGACAACATGTTGCAATTACATCAAATCTTGTGTCACTATATATTAAAAGTATTTTGTTTTTAGGTGAACAATCAATACTAATGTGTTAAATAAATTTTCATTTGTTACAGATTTGATAATGTACACAGGTGCTCAATTGATAGTAGGCTGAGTGGGAATAGGCAAGCCAGTGCATTGATAATTGGAAAAATGATCAAGCACCAATACCTAGATGCCTCCCGAAAACCATATCAACCAAAAGCCATAATGGCAGACTTAAATTGGAAATTGGGAGTTAATGTGAATTACAAGAAAGCGTGGAGAGCTAAGGAAAAGGCTTTGACATCAATATCGGGAACTGATAAAGAGTCATACATGAAATTGCCGATGTTATGTCATATAATGGACCAAGAAAACCCAGGATCTATTATATCTCTCAATTCTGATTCTCAGAATCATTTCAAGAACTTGTTTATGTCACTGGGAGCAAGTAGAAAAGGGTGGCTTGCTTGTAGGCCAATACTTAGTGTAGATGGATCATTTTTAAAAGCAAAATATCGTGGGACAATTCTTTCTGCATGTGCTCTTGATGCAAACCGACATTTGTTTCCAATAGCATTTGGAGTGTGTGAAAAGGAGAACAAAGAATCATGGTTGTGGTTCTTTACTAAACTTAAAGAATCAATTGGAGAAAGAGAAGAAATGTGCTTTGTATCAGATAGGAACGAAGGTCTTATTAGTGCTGTGAAAGTGGTATATCCTGGTGTTCATCATGGGTATTGTGTGCAACACATACTTGGAAATATAACTTCAAAGCTAGGTGGGAAAAAGAAAAATGTTATAAAGTTTTTCAATGCTGCTGCTAGGTCGGCAACAAGCAGAAAGTATGAATACTTTATGAAGTTACTGGACTCTGAAGACCCAAGGATTCGACAATATCTAGCTGAAATCGGTTGTGAAAAATGGGCTAGATGTAAAATGACAAGAAGGAGGTACTCAATAGTGACATCCAATAATGCAGAGTCCCTCAATAATGTGGATGCCACTGCTAGGGAGTACCCGATATCCATTTTGGTTGAGTTTCTGAGGCTAAAATTGCAAACATGGTTTCATGACAGAAGAAAAGAAGCCACAGAAAATGCAGCAACTTTATCCCCAAAAGCAGAAGCTGTTCTTGTAAATTTGCTAAGAGATTCTGCCGGCATGATTGTGAGTAAAATTTTAGTAATAAAAGCTTATAATATTGGTCTTTTGAATTCAGTTACACTGTTTTTATGGCAGTGAAGTGTATTGTGATTTATAATTGTTAAAATTATATTGGATTCATATATAACCACTTATATGATTGTTTTGTATTTTTTACAGGTAAGACCAAGCACTATTTTTAAGTATGAAGTGATAGATCAAAGGTGTAGGGCATTTGTGGTTGACCTTGAGTCCAAAGAATGTAGTTGTAGAGAGTTTCAATTGGAGGACTTTGTGTGTGCTCATGCAGTGGCATCCATTAGGTCAAGGACTGGATTATCTTGCTATGACCACATTTCAACATATTACAAGAATAACGCATGGTTGGAAGCTTATGCAGGAGTCATAGAACCACTAGGTGAGTATTGTGAAGCAGATGTCCCAAGTGAAGTAAGAAATCGGATTATTTACCCACCAATATCAAAGAAACGGTCAGCTGGAAGACCGAAGAATAAAAGGATTCCTTCAATTGGTGAGTTTGTTACACGACAAAGGTGTGGAAGATGTAAACAAAATGGACACAATCAAAAGACGTGCAACAACCCGATACCACGTCACTAAGGATTGAGATGATGATGATGATATGTTCAATGTTATATGTAGTTAGTATTGTAATGAACAATGTGTACTTCACATTATCTCTGTGTGTGATGTGTCTCTTGGGACAGAATTGATTTGAACTTCAGTAGTTTTAAAAGTGATAATAAATTGAGTTTATGATTGGTAAAAATGTGTAGTTTTAAGTGTGTGTGCAGATATATATGAATTGCAGCCACAACTAATAAACTGGAAGATGAAAGCATCTGGTGAACTTTGTCACTAAAAGAGCCTTGTCACTACCATTGTTGTCACTGCAAAAAGTGTCACTAGTAGTTATAAAATTTTGTCACTGTCAGTGTTCTAACTGGAATAATGTTTCACTAGGAGTATAACCTATAAGCATTAACATTATGTAACTAAACACATGTGTCACTGCAATATGTGGCAGTTTAAGTGTCAACAACATGTAACTGACAAATGTGTCACTGCATCATGTGTCACTATTACTATTTTGACATTGTCAGTGATACAAAATTGAATTTTTTCTTTTATGTTTGAAAGTAAAAAATATAAATTATATAGAAGTACAATAATGGTGTCATTGTGAAAAGAATTAACAACACAAAGAATTACACAGTCACAAAAAGAAGAACTAATCAAAGTACTTATCAATACCATGAAACCAAAGTAACTATTCAAGAGTAGTAATGAAGTACATAAGTATGGAACATCAAAATGAATCCAAAAAGTCACAAAAAGAGGTTAAGTTTTGACTACTACAAGTTTGTAGAACATATTTAGTATTCAATACAAACAAACTTAAACAACACATGAATGTGTAACTATAGCTTTTCCCATTGAAGTGCCATGAACGTAAAGGTCATGAGCCCACTTTGCTCGATAAGAAGGGACTTTGTCGGGGCACACAAGCTGGATATCCATGTCCATTTGAAGTACTTCAGCAATCTTCATCACCAAAAGCCCACAATCTCCCCTGAAAAAAAAAAGCTTTAAAAATCTGTTTTTTGAGTTGAAAAAGGTCAAAAACTTAAATTAGATAATATGCCACTTACCCATTGGTCTGTTGTGGGACGTCATGGGCCATTTTAACAGTGGCAGAACCAACAGCACCATATACACGTCCATGGGCACAAGACCGCATGTGAGACAAGATGAGAGGAAGATAGTGAATGAGACCGCGCATTTCAGTACACAAAGATTTTGGAATGGATGCACGTCTGTTGTTGGTATCGTACACAAACAGAGTGTTTGCACTAACATCTAGAACAACTAGAACCCAATGTTTAGAAACAAGATTAAATGGAAAGTAGATGTAGTCACATTCATACCACGGGCGTAAGTATTGAGTTTCATCGCCTGCAATAACATCAATCACATATTGATCGTTGGCTGCTTTTGATACATCACCTGAACCGGACTTGTAAGAATCATAAAGGGCATTAAGATGACTTGGAAAGTAAGTGCAGGAAGTAGAAAATTTTTGGGGAAACTTAAATGTAGCAGCTTTCAGGCGCAGATAAAAATCAATGCTCTGGATATGCTGAAATAATAGAAATACAGTTAGTATAACAGAAGAAATAGAGTAAAAATAAATTTACACATTCAGAGGGATATACAGTTACATACTGTGGCATCAAGCCATTGACCAGGTTCATGTAGACGATAGAGCCAAGATTTTCTCTCTACTTCCAATCCACAATCCAAATCCAGATGAAAATTTTTATCAATTTCCGGTGTGTACTTAGTCACTGTACATAAAGACTGGTGACCTCTAATAACTCCTTCCATAATTTCATTATAGAAATTAATTCTTTCAGACTCAGATTTGAACTCAGCAAACGGATCACGACTGAATGGACAAATAGCTTGGACAGAACGTTCCTTCTTCTTAGCTTTGCGAAGAGCATCAGAACCTGGAGTGTAACGTATTGGGGAGCGCACCTTGCGTTTCGGTCTGCATGGTTCTTGTATAGCATCAAAGCAAATATTTGCAGTAGTCTTAGAAGGGGAAACCTGTACAATAGAGGTAAATAAGTGTAAGTATTTGTACAATTAATTAAATAACAAAGCCACAAATCACATGCGTATTAGAAATACGAAATGACTAAGCATGTAAAATAGTGAAATACTATGTAAGTTACAAGAATAGGACCTGGATGTTTAAGGGAGTATCTGACTGGGCTTGAGGTGGTAAAGAAGATGCCAGATTAACAGTAGGCAAGACTTGCGGCTACAGAACAAAAATAAAATAAATCAAACGGCTGCAAAGATGTCACTGAGTAAATTGACAAAAAAAGTGACAAAGAGAACTTACTTTTGGATCATAGAGTTCAAAAGCCTCAATCATTACCTGCGTCCAACCAACATTGGTGGTGTCATCAACATCCACAATTATTTCACCATCAGTAACATCCAACACTTCATTGGGAGGTTCAGATACTTTGGGAGGTTCATTGTGTTTCTCTACGTCATGGGGAGGTTGAATTGCAGAGGGGTGAGCTTGATGAGAGTCAACAGGAGCTCTGGTAAACGGCTGTGGAGACCCTTTTCCAGTATCAGATAGTTTGGACTTTGAAGCTTCAAGAAGACTTTTGAGATTATCAATGACAATATGTAGATCTTTGAACTTATCATGAAATCCTAATATCTCATTTTTTAACGTTTGAACTTCTTCCTCAAGCACCACAATCCTAGCTTCATAATTTGTTGCTTGACTTGAACTTGCAGCTTGATTATTTTGAGGAGCAGAATCAGAGAAGTGAGTTTGGGCATCAGGACTTATTGTAGTATCAGGTAGTGGTGGGGTAATTCTGTCTTCAGATTCATGAGAACGTTTGACACGCCTTTTTTTCTTCAATGGGACTGGTTTTGGAGGGTTGTCAAGCTCACGAACACTGTCAGATTGTGAAATGGGAGTGAAAAGAAACTGAAAAAAAAGAAGGAAAGTGTAAATATATTAAACAAGATTTTGAAAATAACAACAAAAAAGAAGAAGAGAATAAATGAAAAACCTACTTCTTTGTTGCAAAAGATTGCATCCTTCAAGGATTCGCTGGATGGCTTTGCAGTGGAGGACCATTTCAGTATACTTGGTTCAGAACAAGGATCTACTAGACGAGCTAGATTTATAACTTTAAGAGCGGGGAATGACTCAAAAGCCCACACTTGTAATGCAATGACACAACCGTAAACATTGTAATGGGAAGGATTAGATTCAATGCTCTTTAAAGAAGCCTTGAAATAACCTACCATGTCATCCCAAATGACTCTGCCCCATGGGTAAGAATTAAAAGCAGCTAGATCATCTACAAGGTTAAGGTATGTTGAATGGATTGAAACCTGACCTTCGGCAGCCAAAAAAGCATGGGACAAAACATATAACAAGGAAAGCTTAACGATGTTTTGTTCTGGTTCTCTACCCCTCTGAATGGACTGAAATACACTCTTAATATCCCGACGTTTGACTTTTGTTTTACAGTCTGGAAAGTATGTATTCCAGATATCACCCCTCTCAGAATCATTATCATGCACAATAGAGACAGTTTCATCATAAGGAAAGCCCATAATGTGGGAGAAATCAGAAACAAAAAATGAGATGATCCTACCCTCGATTTCAAACGACAAAGCATTCTGAAGGTTGGTTACCTCAACCATGTTCCCTAAAAGGTAATGTATAAGTTGACCACAACATGACATTTCCTTAGAAGCTAAGAATTTTCCAAAAACAGACTTCTCAAAAATAGCAAGTTCATGAGGAAGAAGTTTAGACCTAACAAGGTTTATGGAGTCATAAAGTCTAGAAAAGGTATTAACTCTCCTATTCTTAATGTCCATGTAAACAACATCCTTGCTGACAAGTCTCTTGAAGGTCTGAAACAAACATATTAAAAGGAGAAGATGAATTTGATATACATAATAGTGGAATAATGTAGGTACTGGTCTTTTAACAACAGAAAATAAGCAAACAAAAGAATGCATACACATTTTGATTTGTGTGGCAATGATAAACGAGAAGATGAGCGTTTTGCTAGACTTGGACTAGGAGATAATGTAGAAGTATTGTCAGCCATCTGAAAAATATATCAAATGAGGTACAAAATACACAAACAGAACCATAAGCATCACTTTTATTGAAATTAAGAGCAAAATGATGAGTGCATATAAATAAAGAGGAGATACCACAAACACAATATAACATGCAATAGTCCAAGTTGCAGTTGAAAACCGTCGATAGATAAATGCAATCAAAACAGTAGGAGAAGAGCAGTAATCTTACGAGATTGAAAAAAAATATACAATGTTGGTGAAATTGGAGTGTGGAAACTAACGAGATACAATCGACAACGTACCTCAAGTAAGGAGCCGAGTAGGAACAGAGGTGCTGAACGAAGTTGAGAAACACGACGAGTGGTGAAGTCGAATTCGAAATCGCCGAGTAGAAACACGGCGAATATAGACGGGGGAGAAGAAATGGTGTCGCGTATCAAGCAATCGAATCTTTACCTTCCATTGTTAATCGGCATCGAAGAGCGAGAAGAAAGTCGACATGCAAGAGCGCGAAGAAGAAAGGCGGTGCTGAAGTTGCAGAGACGGTTAATTCTTCTGGGTGGGTAACCGGCAAGTAAGTTGTGATTACCGGTTAAACGGGTTTCAAAATTGAGTAAAGTCATATTTTTGGAAAAATGAAAAGTGGTCATATTTGTGTCTTGAGAAAGCCCAATAGTAATTTTGGTGCCATTTTTTCTAAATATATTCACAATAACAATTTCCACTTGTTAAACGTTTCACAAAAACCAATGGCCGCTTAACAGAACCGTCTAGGGGTGGGCAAAAGACCCGGTCTCGTTGGTCCGTTCCAGAACGTTCCGGTTCCGTTCCGAAATTGTCCCGTTAAATTCGGGACAAACTATTTTTGTCCTGTTCCGGTCCCGACCGTTTCAAAACAAAACGGGACCGGGACAAATAAAATATGTCCCGTTCCATCCCGTTGTCCCGAATTCAAAATTGTACGGAGTATATAGTTGTGGGTTAGTGAGTCTACCATCAATTCAAATACTAATGAATATTAATATTAATTAGGTATTAGTTATCTAATATGTAAATACTAATGAATATTAATATTAATTAGGTATTAGTTATCTAATATGTAAAACACCTGAAGGAGTAAATTATATCAAGTATGAACTATCTTCTACATACTAAAAAGAAACTCACATATACTTCACATGTTTCACTTCTAATAATATTGTTTGTCTTTTTATTTATTTTTGTAGTTTCTTAGTAGTATTGTGTGTGTTGGAGTTAATTGTTGTTGTTACGGTTTGTTTCATGCTACTATCCTATTAATCTACTATTTTTTGTGTTGCATTTATCGTAAATTTTTGTATGTGTTGCATTTTTAGTGTTGTAGTTTTTGTCATGAAGTTTCTTTTTAAAGCTGTATTTTTTCCGCTGCAATTTTTTTGGGATGTCCCGAACCGTCCCGTTCTGTTCCGGTACCGGTTTAAAAGGGACAACACCGGGACAACATCTTGTCCCGTCCCGTTCTGTCCCGTTATCCTAAACCGGGGTCGAGGCCGGGATAGTCTAATTCCCATCCCGTTCCGTCACATGCCCACCCCTAGAATCGTCTAATAGATTTTAGAGGCGTTATTCTAAATAATGAATTGAGGCCTTCTAAAATAAGAAAAAATAGTAATATGTATTATGTATTAAACTAGTATCATAACGTATCATAGTATAAGCTCTTTGCCTCTTTTACTCTTTACAGCCGGTCGAGGGTTTGGGGGGAGCGCCGGCGACTTCTAGGGAATCCGGCGGCGCCGCATCCGGCTAAGCGCCTGGAAACAGTGAAACAAGAATCAACCAGCCCCTATGGGTCACAACAAGCACAAACCCAAACGGTAAGCTACTCGATGAGGTGGGATTTAGAAAACTTACAACTCTACCAATAAAATCAAAATGAATAAATAAAAAGTAATTTAGAGTACTGAAATAGGAAAAACTATAAAAATTAAACGGACGTAAGAAAATAATAAAGCAACCAGCCACTGGTTTCCAGTTATGTCTCGTTGTAACTTGATTCCATTGGACTTGTAGATCTGCCCCGTATGTCTGAAAATTAAATCAATAACATTTATTCCAGTCTTGTATTTAATACTCGCTCCGGTCCTTAATGAAGTTTACACTTTGACTGCACACATATTAAGGAAATAAATTTGACTTTGTTGTAGAGTACACTGTTTGGCACTGTTTGACACTGTTTAGTGTAGATTTGTTTGTCAAATAAGGCAAATAAGGAAGTGTAAAGTTTAATATGGGACGACCCAAAAAGGAAAATGTAAAGTTAATTAAGGACTGAAGGGAGTAGTTTGATAAAAATCTTGTACTACTCTTTTCTCCTGTAGCGGTGGTTCATGAGGAGGGCGGATCAACAATGTAGTCATAGATGGCTGGAGAACCATAAAAGAAATTGAGAAAGACATATTTGAAACTTGATGAATAACAAAATAGCAATTGAACAATAACATAACACTTCGAAAGCACTTGCATCATTTATTTGAGAAGAAACCACCCATATAATGGCTGTCAAAATTGATAGAAGAAGAACCATACAAATTCTAGGGAATAAAACACCACTCATACAAGTGCACATGACACTTTTTCACTTACGTATAAACTCCGTACTTTGAAAGATTAATTCCCCTCCGGCCTTGAAACTGAGAGAAAGAAAACACTAAAACGCTGAAAGCAAAGGAAGGCGTTGGGTGTGATGCTCTTTCGGCCCTTGAAGCTGGTTGAGACGAATAAGCAGAGAAAAAGCCACAAGGCCGCCGCCTCCCAGCCCTAGGGTTTCAGCGGCGACTACATCTCTTGGGAGCTACACGGTATGTTCCAATTCCA